ACATCCTTGTGTTCTGATCTTAGCATGAAGGTTTTCAGTTTTTGTCCATTTAATATGATGTTGGTTTTTCATATATAGCCTTTATCAAGTTGAGATAAAGAGCATCTATTCCAATTTTCTGCAGTTTTTGTCATGAGTTGGTGTTGAATTTTGTCAAATGCTTTCTCTGCATCTATTGAGATGATCATATGGTTTTTTTCCTTCACTCTGTTAATATAGTGTATTACATTTATTGATTTACATATGTTGAACCATCCTTGCATCCCTGGGATAAATCCAACTTGGTCAGGGTGTATAATCTTCTTGATGACCCTCTGTTTGCCAGTATGTTATTGAGGATTTTTGCATCTGTGTTCATTAAGGAGAATTAGCTTATAATTCTCTTTCTTGATTGGGTCTTTCCCTGGTTTTGGAATCAAAGTAACACTTTCTTCCAGGAATGAATTTGGAAGTATTCCTTCCCTTTCAATTTAATTGAAAAGTTTAAAGAGTTGTGGCAGTAGTTGTTCTCTACACGTCTTGTAGAATTCAGCTGTGTATCCATCAGGACCTGGGCTTTTCTTTGTTGGTAAATTTTAAATTATGTTTTTAATTTCACTGATGGTAATTGGGGTGCTTAGAATTTTTTAATTTTCATTCAACTTTGGTAATTCATAAGTATATAGGAATCTGTCCATTTTTTTGTGTCCATTTCTTTTGTTCACTTTATTAGACTACAGGTTCTCAGAGTAAGTATTGATGATCCTCTGGATTTCTGCTGGATCTGTTGTGACTTTGACTTTACCTTTTTCGTTCCTAATTGCATAGATCTGAGCCTTTCCTTTTTTTTTTTTTTTTTTTGTCTTGACAAGATTGGCTAAGGGTTTATCGTTTATTTATTCTTTGGAAAAACCAATTGTTCAAATCATTGATTTTTTTTTTTTTTTTGGTATTATTCTCTTAGTTTCCATTGCATTCATTTCTGCCTTGATCTTTATAATTTCCTTCCTTGTACAAGCTTTCGTTTTTTCTTTCTCTTTTTTTTAGGAGCTTAAGATTCATCATTAGGTTGTTTATTTTAGCTCACTGTTTTCCTAGTGTGGGCATTCACTTCTTTGAATTCTTCATATAAAACTGCTTTCATTGTGTTCCATACGTTCCTGTATGTTGTATTGGCATTAGCATTTATTTATTAAAACTGACTAATTTCTTCTTTAATTTCCTCTGTGACCCATTGATTGTTCAGGAGAGTGTTGTTAAACTTCCGTGTCTTTGTAAAGTTCTTGTGCTTTCTTATGCTGTTGAACTGCAGCTTAATTGCACTATGGCCTGATAATATACATGGGTTAACTTCAATTCCTTTGTATTTATTTAAACCTGTTCTATGAGCTAGTATGTGGTCTATTTTGGAGAATGACTCATGTGCAGCTGAAAAAGAATGTGTATTCTGATTTTGTGGGGTGGAACACTACAGACATCTGTTAAGTCCATTTGTTCAAAAGCGTCATTCACTTGTAGCATTTCATTGTTGAGTTTTTGTCTCGATGATCTGTCTATTAGTGATAGTGGGATATTGAGGTCCCACTGCAATGGTATTAGTGCTTATTTGGTTTTTCATGTCCCTTCATATTTGTTTTATATAGTTGGGGGTATTAATATTGGTGCGTAGACATTTTATGATTGTCATGTCTTCCTCTTGGATTGTTCCCTTTTCAACGATGTGGTGGCCTTCTTTGTCTCTTAATTAGTTTTGGTTTGATATTTACTTTATCTGCGAATAAGATAGCTACACCTGCTTTTTTCTGGGCTCCTGTCACATGGAGAACTGTTTTCCATCCTTTTATTTTCAGTCTATGAGTTTATTTTTTGAACTAGATGTGTTTCTTCTATACAACATATTGTTGGATTTTGCTGCTTAATGCATTCTGCCAGTCTGTTTCTTTTGATTGGTGAATTGAGCCCATTAACATTGATAGTTATAACTGATATGTATTGAGTTGTCATTGGCATGTTATTGTCCTATTGTTGTCTCTTTCTAATTTTTCCCCCCTCTCCCTTTAGTTTCTTGCCTTGCCTGTTTGATTTGCTGCATTGGGCCTCATGGTGTTGTGGGCTTCATTGTCTTTTTCTAGGATATTGTTTAGAATTGTTTAGAGTGCTGGTTTGGTATTCATGAAATTTCTCCGGTGTTCTTTGTCATGGAAGTATTTTATTCCCCAATCTGTTTTAAAAGAGTTTTGCAGGATACATCAGTCTAGGTTGGAGGTTGTTTTCTCTTGGGGCCTGAAATACCTCACTCCACACTGTCCATGATCTGAGGGTTTGTGTTGAAGAGTCTACTGTGTTTCTGATGGACTTTCCTTTGCATGTGATTTGTTTTTTTCTCTAACTGGTTGCATTATTTTGTTCTTCTGTTGGGTTTCTGGGATCTTCACTATTCTATGTTTAGTTATAGATCTTTTTTGATCATGGCTAATTGGAGTCCTATATGTCTCACTTATCTGTATGTTCAAGTCTTCCCCTCTGTTTGGGAAGTTTTCTGTCATTAATTCTGTGAACAGTGTTTTAAGTCTTCTGTAATTTCTCCTGCTACTTCATGGATTCCTGTCATTCTAATGTTATTATTTGCATCATCTAGGAGCTGTTGGATTGATATCTAACCATCCCTTATTGTTTTTAAGAGATCTCTCTTTTCATGTCATTGACTGCAATCCTATATTCTATACATGAAATTCTATCTTCATATTAATTCATCCTGCTACTAATGCTTTCAGTAAAGTTTTTAATCTCCTGGGTATTATCTCTTTTTATCTGTTTGTGGATTGCATTTCTTTCCTATCTTGGGCATTCATGATTTCTACTTCTGTCCTATGCTGGGCATTCATGGCTTCTCACATGGTTCTGAGCTCATCTGATTTTTTTGTCTGTTTCTGTTCTAGAGTCTAATCATGTCTTTCATTGTACTTACCATTTCTGTAGTTACCTGGGAAATTATTTCTGTTTTGAATTTATCTAGAGCCTAATCCATTTGTTACTTTCTGAGCTGTCAGTTCAGGGTGTCCTGGTGGTTGATTGTAGACTTTTCCACCTCATTTCCCATAGACTTTATTGTTGGTGAATTGGAAGTCTGTACTTGTGCCTTGCTTATGTGTTTTCTCATTTTTATTTTTGTTGTTGAGCTGTCCTTGGTTTAATTCCTGGGTTAGTATTTTGATCTTCCAGATATATCTGATCTTTAGGTTTTGAGTCTCTAATGACTCAGAGATACTCTCCTTTTCATAATACCAGAAAGGACAACTCATTAAATCACATAACCCTGTAGGTCACTTGATCCAATCAGCAACACAATAGCATCCAGCACAGTTTAGAAATTGACCACTTGTGGTAGTTATTAATCTGTCACCTTTAACCATGTGAATTAAATCAAAATCGAGGACCAGCCCAAAATGTGTTTATAGTGAATAAACTCTTCAATATAGCAAGTTTACCCTTCAGGCTGGGGACTTCGAAGGAGTTGGGAGGAGAGGAATAGGTAGGTAAAAGAATAGGAGACGATTTCATGTGTAGCCAGAGGACACAGGATGTTCATGCAAACTAGGAAACTGTTGAAGACAAGGGAAGGACAGAGTGCAAGAACATAGACGACAACAGTAGAACAACTTAGCAATAATAGAGAAGCTATAAATTGTACTTACTTTCCTATGACACTAATGACAATCGAGTGAAGGAAAAAGAAGAAAAAAAAGAAATCCAAATTAGGGCAAGTACAAAAAGGAAGCTGAAGAATAATTTGGGGGAGTAAGAGTCTGAGTGGGAAAAGGAAAGAAAAAAGAATCTAAGAATGGGAAAAAATAAAATTTTTTAAATTAAAATTAAAAAGAGGAAAAGAAAATTAAATTTGAAGAGCCTCTCTCAGTGTATATCTCTCCTGTCACAATAGATATGTGGGCAGGAATGTGCAAAACTAAATCACTTAGTTTCAGCTAGCCAATAGCTGACCCCTGAGATTCAGGCTGAATTCTGGCTGTAAGGCCCAAGTTTAGTTCCCTGACCTCCTGCACGGTTGAACTCTGCAAGGTTCTCCTGCAAGTTCCAGCTGCCCTTCCCCTGAAGATTGTCCAAGTTCTGATGGAAGGTGATGATCCCTTCAACTTACCAACTGTGGAGGTCTGATGTGCCTTTATTGCAGTTCAATTCCATTCTATCTTCTGGAGCTCAGTACAGTTGCCTTTATGACCACCTGTGGCTCTGCAGTGTGAATCCAAATACTGGCACATCCAGGAGCTCCAAGAGCTGGGTGGGGGTGGGGGTGAGAGATACTGCAGAGATACCTGTGTGTCTGGGCAGTACTCACCAGTCTGCTCAGATGAAGGCCCTGGGCACTGGAGGGTGGGGGAGCAGTGAGCTCCCTGCATGGCTGGGCTGTCCTCACTGGTCTGCTCCAGTGAAGGACTGGGGCGCTAGAGGCTACATCCTATTTTGTTAAGAAACTGCTTCACTGTTTTACAAAGTGTTGAAATTGTTTTATATTCTCAATGGAGGTGTCTCAGACTTCCATTGGTTCTCATCTTTGCCCACACTTGGAATAGTCAGTATTTTTAACTTTCTCCATTGTAGTGAGACTCCCTTGATAATTTTGTGGCTTGGGTTTGCATTTCCTTGCTGACAAATGCAGATTGTGTGGGTGCTTATTTGCCATCTATACATCTTCTTGGTGAAGTATCTTTTTTAGATGTGAAATAAAACCAGATGTCATGGCCATGCATCTGTGGTTCTGTGTTCCTTAGTACTTGGGAGGCTGAGGCAGGAAGATGCTTTGAGTCCTAGAGTTTGATGCACCTGGGCAACACACGACCTCTTCTCAAAATAAATGAAGAATGAACCCTTACTCATTGCATGTACATGATTCCAAAATAATATGAATGTGTATGTGCAGGAGACTGTACTTCGTTGAAAATTGAGCTGATACCAGTATAACTGGATAACTGCACCAAACAAGTGCTGTTTTTCTGTTCCAACAGGTTGCAGCATTACAAGAGGAGAAAAGCAGTCTATTGGCAGAAAATCAAATATTAATGGAAAGGCTTAATCAGTCTGATTCTATTGAAGACCCCAACAGTCCAGCAGGAAGGAGGCATTTGCAGCTCCAAACTCAACTAGAACAACTGCAAGAAGAAACTTTTAGGTAAAAGGTCATTGAAATCTAATCTTAAAAAATTTCATAACTGTCATTTAAAGTTAAGAATATAACATTAGTACTTCTAGGTAACTGCAGAACAAAAGGGCAGAGTAGTAAACAGATTGCCGAAATCTTCCCACATGACTTGAAAACTTCATGTCTCGGAACAATTCTGACAAAGCTACATTCTCAACATTTCTTGAAGACAGAATGTTCCAACTACAGAATGGCTGAGTGAAAGAAAAAAACATCTCTGCATCCCACACACCTGACTCAACTGCACCTGCGCTGCTCTGCAGCTTTGTGGCAAGCAAAGAAAGACACATGAGAAAACATTAAAGAAAGACAGAAAGCATGCTAATGAGAGGTGCTGAAGGAGAATTCGAACAGTCATCACAAAGATTAAATTCACCCAAAATCTGAAATTACTTAAAAAAAAAATAATTGAGCTTAGTAGGCTACAAACTGCCAGACAGGGATTTCAAAATACATCTTCTCTCTGTGTGTTTGAGTGTATGTGTGTAATGGAATGGAACCCAGGGCCTCCTATATGCTCAGGAGGCGCTTTACCCATGCTGTATCTGTCTTTTTAAAGGGCCTGTTGTCACAAAAAGATAGAGAAAGGAGTTTAAAGAGACTTAACACCCTTTTCAGGAACAGTTAAAGGCATACAGTACAAAGACCTAGTACACAATAAATAAAGATAGATTTGACAAGCAGAATTTAAAAGAAAAACTCTCAGACACATCTGGGGGAACAGAAGAACAAAAGCAAAGAAGAGGGGACTTTTTGATATGATTTACTAAAAGTCCATTCTGACCTACTGAGCTATTTTTTTAATTTAACCATAGATTTCCAGTTTTAAAACAGAAATTAGACATCAGTTAGTTTTTTATATCTGTTATGTTTTATTCCTTATGTTTTTTTGTTGTTGTTTTATTTTGCTTTTGGCACGGGAACGAAATCAGGACCTGGTGCTTGCAAGGTAATGTTATGTTTTATTCTTCATTGAAATGTTACTGGACATTTTTTTGTCTTTTTTCTTTTCTTTTAGTACTGAGAATCAAACTCAGGACCGTGCAACTTGCGAGGCAGATGGCAGAACCACTGAGCTAAATCCTTGCCTTTTCTTTTTTGTTTGTTTGTTTGTTTGTTTGTTGTGCCTTAACAGGAAAAAATAAAAGGTTTTCTTAGCTGGGCATGGTTGTATGTGGCTGTAATCCTAGCACTCTGCAAAGCTGAAGCAGGAGGATTGCAAGTTTGAGCCCAGCCTGGACAACTTAGTGAAACTCTGTCTTAAAATTTAAAAATATTAAAAAGGAGTGGGGATGTATCTCGGTACAGAGTCCCTAGGTTCAAACCTAGGTGGTCACTACCACTACCACCACCAAAATAAAAATGCATCTCCTATGGTCTCCGTCAGTAGTTCAAAATGTGATCCGAGGACCCTGGAGGTTTCTTGTAGACCACTTCAGAGAGGCAAGGCCTTGTCTTCCAACTACATACTTGTGCAAGGGTGAATTTTCTTTATGTATTTCAGCAAAAAACATGTTAGAGCAAATGAATGTTGTAGAAACAGGAGAACCCAGGTGTGTTCTGCTAAGCGAGCAATAAATCACAACAGTGTGAAACCGTGCCACCCTTCTCACTTCTTAGTTTTATAAAATGTATTTTTCATACAGTCCTTACTATAACATAAAGGATATATTATGTTATTTTCAAATTAAATAAATATATTTAACTATTTTAGTTACTACTTTGGCAATATCTATAAATTAAAGCCAGCACAACCAAAATTTCTTTAGGGTTCTCAGTAATTCTGAGAGCAAAAGGGCCCTCAGACCAAAAGTTTGAAATCACTGTCCACATTTTAACATTGTAAGAGAAACTCAGTGGGTAAGATCCACACCTGCCTTAACATCTTTTCTAAGCTTTTAAATATGGCTTAGGAGATTGCATTTTCATTATTAGGGAAATAATTTTTAGTGCTATTATTTCAGAATGCTTTTTTGTAATACTGTATTTTGAAATACCTTAGCGACTCATATTTTATCATTACCATACAGTTAAGTATTTTTTTTTTTCTTAACTAATCTTGGTACAGTCAGATAAAATGCTTTTGGTGTATCTTTATTAGTTTAGTACTGGTAGTAAAAGACAAGCCAGTGACACAAATTCAGACTCAAACATAAATGCCTGACACGATAAAGTCACTACTTCTAACCAACAGGGAGAGTTTCAATATTTGTTAAATGGTTTAGGGTAGATTTTTTTTTTTTCCTGGTACCAGGAATCGAACTCAGGAACTTGCACTTGCCAGGTGGGCACAGCACCACTGAGCTGTAACCCTGGCGCAGGAAAAATCAGATCCCCACATTTTATCATATACCAAAACGAATTCCAGGGAAATTCAAAACTTTTAAAAGTGAACTATTAACCAAAAAATTTTAATGGTATACTAAAAGCAGAAACTCTGAAATGTAACACTCAGAACTCTGTGTCTGGGTGTCGTGGCACATGCCTGTCAGCCTGAGGCAGGGGGATTGCAAGTTCAGGGCCAGCCTGGGCAACTTAATATAGACCCTGTCTCTAAATAAAATTGAAAAGGGGCTGAAGGTGTAGTAAATAATCAACTGCATAAAATGACGAGATGAAGAGCCTTGTAAATCAGTGGAAAGATGTAGTTAAGTTAACACATCTGGTTAATTTGAGTAGGAAGAGTAGTATGTTTGGGGGAAAATGTCAGTAGAAATGAGGCTGGAGAATGTACTTCCAAAGTGTGTATAGTACTTTTACGTATCTGAATTAATACACCATTTGTATTTTCTGTATTTTACAAATTTTCAAGGAATATATTTTAATTTGTAGCTCACTTTCTTTTTTGTTGTTGTTGTTTTTTGTTTTTTGAGACAGGGTCTCACTATGTAGTTGAGACTGACCTGGAACTCACTATGTAGCTCAGGCTGGTCTCAAACTCACAGCAATCCTCCTGCCTCAGCCTCCGGAGTGCTGGGATTATAGGCATATGGCACCACGCCCGGCACTGTAGTTCACTTTCATAATCAAGAAATAAAAGTTTCAACTTATATCTGCAGTGTCTGGGAGAACTTCTTTGTTGTCTAGCTTTCCATCAGTAGAATGCTTGCCAATTGTCACCTTTTCCAAATCTCAGAAGCAGAGAATCCTTTTCACAAAGTTATGACTTGGGAATATATCTTAGAGCCGCAGATTGAGACATCTTTACACAGAGTTTATTCCCAGTGTTTCATGTTTTCATTTTATTTTGCTATTCTAAGAGAATTATGAGACAATAAGTAATACTTTCTTACTAGACAGGCACTTTGACCAGCTAAGCAACAGGGCCCCCTAGTAATACTTTCTTTTTTTTTTTTTTTTTTTTTTTTCAGGTTAGAAGCAGCCAAAGATGATTATCGGATCCGCTGTGAGGAGTTAGAGAAAGAGATCTCTGAACTTCGGCAGCAGAATGATGAACTAACTACTTTAGCTGATGAAGCCCAGTCTCTGAAGGATGAAATAGATGTTCTTAGGTAAGCAGTCTTTGCATGGGTTCACAGACAGAGCAGTTCTGACTGTGCTGTTACAGTCTAGGCTCTCTGAACAGCATCTTTCAGAGCCAGACTACCTAGGTTCAGATCAACCATTTATTCACCTGTAAAATGGAAGTGATACATATAGCCTCAGGTTTATATGAGAAATCAAACAAATTTGGTTTTTGTTTTTGTTTTTTGTGGTACTGGGGATCGAACTCAGGTCCTTGCGCTTGCGAGGCAGGCTCTGGAACCACTGAGCTAAATCCCTAGCCCAAACAAATTTGTATTTGTAAACAGTTGGAATGATCTGGCAAATTCATTATATACTTGTAAAATAAAAATTAACCTGTAACCGTGGCATTGTACTTTTACTCCAGAGCTTTTTTTTCTTCCTATCACTGTTGTATAATTCTGAGCCCTTCAGGCACTCCGTCTTCCTTTGTCTTAGATGTTGGCACACATCACATCACAAGACTTCATTTCCTTACCAAATGTTCTCATCTTCCCTTTAGGTATTCTCTCAGGTGCCTCACTGCTTGCCATGTCAATGTTCTTTTATTCTGTCTCTTGTCCTCCACTGAATTACTCCATCCCTGTTTTCATTTGCTCTTTGATAACTGAAAATGTAAGAAAATCACACAGTGATAGTTTTGTCCTACTGTAGATTAATGATCTTATCACTGGAATCTTCTCCCAGCCCACCATTCTACCGTGTATCAGTACATTGCTCTCTGTGCGCTTATTGATGTTAAATGTTCTCATAACTCTTCCCACGTCTTTGTCCACAGACCACACACCACCACTCTGCCTTAATCTTGGTAGATGATCCTGATGGCTGTTGCTCAGAGAAAAGAGGCCATTACCTGTTGAACTCCCCGTGACCCTTGTCTCCTGCTCCTCTGAACTTCCCTGAATTCCCTCACCTTTTTTGCTTTTAACTGACTTCAGTGTTTGGGGTCTCATAACATACATAGGGACTGTTGTGTCAGTTTTCATTTCTCTTTGCATCTTGAATCTCCCTAGACACACACACACACACACACACACACACACACACACACACCCCCCATGTCTCTTTAATATTAAAAAAGATTGTAAAAATGTACTACTCTCCTTTCCAGAACAAAGCTTCAATCATATCAGATAAAATTTATAGTCTTTCCTTAGCTTCCTGAAATTTGCCCTGGACTGTTCTCCACTTTACCAAAACTTCTGTTCTGTGATCTCATGACCTATTCATTGCTGAATCATTTGGACACTCCACAACTTTCATTTTATTCTGCTAAATGTGATTCTGCTGGATACCTCTTCCTACTAACTTTTCTTAAATTATATAGCATTATTCATATATTTTGCTGTAATTTTGGTCATTTTTCTTAACCTGAATAAAAAATTAACCTGGACTCTTCTTTCATCTTGTAATTTCATTAGAACATGTTGTTTCCTGGTAATTTCTTCATGTTGATCATTGTCTCAAAGCAGCTTTCCAACCGTGGATGTGTTTCTGATTTTTAATTGCCCATCTCATTCTAGACATTCTTCTGATAAAGTGTCTAAACTAGAAGGTCAAGTGGAATCTTATAAAAAGAAGCTAGAAGACCTTGGTGATTTGAGACGGCAAGTTAAACTCTTAGAAGAGAAGAATACCATGTATATGCAGAACACTGTTAGTCTAGAGGAAGAGTTAAGAAAGGCCAATGCAGCTCGAAGCCAGCTTGAGACATACAAGAGACAGGTAAGAGCAGAAGCCATTCTTCTTGAGGGATGCAGCACCCCCCTCAACACGTACACACTTTCAGAGTGTCAAAATGCTCCTGATTTATCTTCACAGCTTTTAACTACATAGTGGTAAATGTAATAAAGAACTTAAAAATGTAAGTCTTACACAGAGGTTATTGATTGGTCCCTATAGCAGATTTTTAAAAAATTTTTAAGTTGATAGTGTAGTACAGAAATGTACGACAGTGAAAGGATAACACAAGTACACATGCTTTCAAAGTAAAACATGCTCTTCACTCCTTACAGGTAACCTTGGGACTGACTGTTTTCAGATTTTCTTTCCCGTGGATCTGTTTATATATTTTTTTTAAACTTTATTAGTACATTTTAGGTATTCAATATAATGCCATTCATCATTGGAAATTTGTACCTTTAAATAATATATCTAGGGTCTGTCTTATTTTTTCTTCATTCCCCTGCCCTCCCTTCAACCCCTCCACCCCTCCCTTTATATTTTTATTCCATACATATTAATCCTTAAAATGTACAACATTTGACATATTCCAGAATATTACATAGACGATTCAATGACAGTGCTCTCATAATTTACTCTTTTTTGCCCACTAGTGTATTTGTGGGATTCATTTATGTCAGTAGGCATCAATTTATCCAATTCATTTTCCTTGCTTTATAGTATCCCACTGAGTGACTGTATCAAATCTGTCCATTTTATGGCTGAAGGACCTATAGAATGATAACTACCCCCAACCCCGTGTGTGTGTGTGTGTGTGTGTGTGTGTGTGTGTGTGTGTGTGTTCCCCCGTGTGTGTGTGTGTGTGTGTGTGTGTGTGTGTGTGTGTGTGTGTGTGAATTCCACTGTGAGTACTACTGGTTGCTTCTTTTGTAGGTATGTGTGTGAAAGTTTCTCATAGTATCTGTGCTGTAATCAGGTATTACAGTTTATTTCCTGAGTGATTGTTTTCCACAGTAGTTTTTTATGAATTCCTTTGCTTTACATTATTGCCAACACAGTATTATTTTCTCAAAACTTTTAAGTTTTGCCAGTTGGATGACTAATAAAATGGTTTGCGTTACTTACAATATATTTACTGACTGTATTTCTTTTGCAGATTATTTTTTCCTTTTATTCATTTTTAAGAATTGAGTGGGAGGCTGAGGCAGTTCAAGGCCAGGCTGGGCAACATAGTGAATTCAGGTCTGCCTGACCTGCTGCATAGCAAGACATTGTCTCAAATAAATAAATACATACATTCATACATTTATTTTTATAACTTACATGTTTTTTCCCATAGGTCTCTTGTATTCCATGTTTACTAAGAATTTCTACTTTAAACGGATTTTGGACTTAATAAACTATTATTCCTATATCTGTTAAAAGAATCATAATGCTTCTCTGCTATTAATGGGCTCAGTTATAATAATGGATCTTCTAACCTTAAACTATCCTTATAATCCTGAAATACATTTAGCCTAGTGACAGTAGAATTTTTTTTGTGTGTCTGTGTGTTTGTATATGTTACTGGGGTTTTAACTAGGAAAATCTATCACTGAGCTACATCCTTTTTTTTGTTGTACTGGGGATCGAACTCAGGTCCTTGTGCTTGCAAGGCAAGTGGCAGAACCAATAAACCAAATCCCCATCCCTATATCTTTTTTTTATTTTGAGAGACGTTCTCCCTAACTTGCCCAGGTTGGCCTCAACTGACAATTCTCCTGCCTCAGCCTCCTAATTAGCTGAGATTACGTATGTACACCACCATGCACATTTTATTCAGAATATTTTGCCCCTGTGACTCACTTGTAGTTTTCTACCTCATATGCCTGCCTTATCTGTGTTGGTCTGGAACTTAACACTACCTCAGTAAACTGAGATGGAGGGATTACTATTCTCAGAATTTGTGTAAAACTTGACAGTTTCTAATTCTCGATGTTTTCGTACAGCAGCCCTGAACTGATATCATGCATGAGTGTGAAGTTTTTTGATGGAGATATATTTTCCTCAACACTTGAGAATAAAATTTTTCAAATGAATAGCAAAGTTGAAAGATTTGATGAACTTAAATATGGACTTAGAATTTACCTAAAAACAGCCTAAAAAATCTGAGTTACATTTTAAAATGAGATATAAAATGAGGATTGATTTGATTAGTGTTTCTGAGGAGAGAACAAAAAGAATTGAAGTAAACTGTTTCGTCGCACTGAATGTTGAGTTACACCCATTTGTCTGTCCACACTCCCTCCTTTCCTCCCTTTTTTTTTTTTTTTTTTTTTTTTGAGAGACAGACTCACCAAGTTGCTGCATATGGCCCAACCTAGTGATCCTCCTGCCTCAGCCTCCCAAGTAGCTGGGATGCAAGCATATGCCACCTTGCCCACCAAGAAAAACATGAAGGAAAAGATTGCTGAACTTTTTAAAGAACTAATCAGATTTAGAATAAAAAGAAACTATAGAAATAGATTGTGGTAAAAGTGCATAATACTGTTTCTGTATCTGATGCTTAATGTACTTTTTTCTGATAATATTTTTCTTTCTGTGAGTTCTCTTTGTATCTTAAAAAGTTCTTTGGTCATTCTTTATGATCTTTTATTTTTATAATTTAGATTTCTTTATTTTTCAAGTATTAAACCTAGAGTTTATATTTTGTGTAATTCTTTTTGATATCCTTGGATATTATTTATGTTGTTGTGTTGTTAATACTATTAATGTTTTTGTCTTGTTAATACTTTTAATTTTTTGCTGATTCTTATTTATTATGCCTATTAAAAATTGTGGCCTGTGTCATATTTCTTCTATTCAGTTCTTTTCATCTTTATCTTGTGGAAGGAACACTGAGGGTACAGAGTTGAGATTTGATTTGTCCAGACAGTATATGTGTTTGTGTCAGGCAAATTTTGTACATCACCATCCAGGGCCACTTTAATTGCGTGGTTAAGGTTTTCCCAAACAAAATGAGTAATAAAATTACAAACACGTATATTAACTGATACAGTTACAGGTTTCCAAGTTAGGCTCTTTTAAATCCAGTTTATCTTGCTAGCTGATGTATTTTTCTCCTAACCTACCTGTTTACTATCTCATCACCTTTTATATCCCGAGGGAGTTTAATACCCACTTGACTGCTCTTGACCTCAGAGCTCAGGCTTCTTGTTAAGGGCAGTTGATCCCTCATGGCACCCATAGCTTCTGAAGGAATCTCATCTCCCACTTCAACTTCAGCCTTTTTTGAGCTTAGCTTGGATTTCCCTCTCCTAGGATCTCCTCTCTCCCTCCTTCTTTCACTTCCTCCCCTCTACCCTTCCCTTCCCTCCACTCCCAATCCCTCCCCTCCCCTCAAAAGTGTTTTAAACTTTCTGCATTGTTGGAAATGAAAGTCCTACGATTCTTTTTCTTTCTCTCTCTCTCTCTTTTTTTTTTTTGCCAGGGATTGAACTTGGGACCTTGTGCTTGCGAGACAGGTGGCAGAACCACCGAGCTAAATCCCCAGCCCAAATTTCCTTTTTTCCCCCCTGATACCAGGGATTGAACTCGGGACTTTGCACATGCAAGGCAGGCACAGCGCCACTCAACTGAATCCCTGGCTCCGAGTTCTACAGATTTATAGTTTCAATATTGTTACTCCAGATGATACATAGTTTAGGAGACTTATAGTGTCTAGGAAGATTTTGATTCCTTGTTTTCTCCATTGTATTAAGCTGCTAGATCATATTCATTTATTTCAGTATTGGTAAGGAAGAGGTTTTCATAGACATGTAGAAAAAAATAAGGTTATTTATTGGGGGGGGGCAGTGCTGGAGATAAAGCCCAGGATCTTATACACAGGCTCTACCAGTGAAGTCCCAACTCCCATAAGATAATTTCTAATGTTTCAGATTATCAACATTAATGTTATCTTTCTGTGTCAGGTAGTAGAACTACAAAATAGATTATCTGAAGAATCAAAGAAAGCAGATAAATTAGATTTTGAATATAAACGTCTAAAAGAAAAAGTTGACAGTCTTCAAAAAGAAAAGGATGTGAGTACTGTATACATATTAGGCCTTAGCACTGCTAAGATTAAGGCAATGATAGTTAACTCATGTTTTGACTATTAATTTCATCTACTCGTGAAAATTTTTAAATTACTGATTCTGTTCATTTTAAAATTAATTTCCATTTGCTCCAAAAAAGATCTAAAATAAAAGATGGAAAGAAAATTTTTATTTCCATTCTGAATTCTTTAATACATATTTATCTTTTCTCCTTCTGCTCTTCTTTTACATTGTTGTATTCTTCACTTTTGTGTAAATTTTAGAGTATATTTTAGATCTTTTCAAAATTTTTTTGCTCTTTGTGATTTAAAAGATTTAATTTTTATGCTTTGATCTTTTATATTTAATGAGAAGAATGTTAGGATTAGTAGATAGCCTCATTTCTCATGTTTAGCCATGGATAACATATTGCTTTGCCCTAGTTCACTGTTGTTAAGTTAAAAAAATATATATTGCTTTTTCTCCTTTTGTGATCTTTCCATAAAAGGTAAAACATACCCATGTTCACTGTTGTTTATTGTTTTATTATCTAAGGCAAAGAACATAGGTGAATATATTCATAAAACTTGAAATTAATCTTCTTTGTCTTTATGTCTGTCAGAGGTTAAGAACAGAAAGGGATTCACTGAAAGAAACCATTGAAGAACTTCGTTGTGTACAGGCTCAAGAGGGGCAGCTCACTACTCAAGGTAAAATATTGTAGCAGCCCAAACATGCTTATTTCTGATGTCCTTGCAGGTATTAGGTTCACTTTAAGATGATTGCCTCATCAGATAATGAAAAGTTAAAAGCAGTAAAAATTTTTATCTTTTACCCAGATTTATAGCAAACGTTATAGTTTTTGGGCCACATTTACATGCCAACTTTGTAAAAATAGTTTATAAACATTTTGCATTTTGTTAGATGAAATACATTTTTTAAATCATCTTTGTTAACTTAGAAAGTTACATTCTGAAACCCTGTTGTGACCCCTTTAAAAATATATTAAGTCAGGTCAGGGATTTAGCTCAGTAGTTCTGTTGCCTGCCTCATAAGCGCAAGGTCCTGAGTTCAGTCCACAGTACCAGGGTTGTGGGGGGTGGAATAGAGAAAGAACTTTCTAAATTGATGAATTTTGTTGTTGTTGTTGTTGTTTGGTTTTTGCTTGCTTTTTTTTTTTTTTTTTCCTTTTTCAATAAGAAAGATGGAGTGGGTTTTAATATATCAAATACTAGGATCCAAGTGCAGGGACCTGAGTTCAGTCTGCGGTACCAAAAAATTATTACATACATACATACTAGGATCCAAAAGCTATTCTTTGTCATAGGGCAAGATCACGACTGAGTGTTTGTCCTTATGCTGGGAACTGAGGGAGAGTGATTGGTCCCTTGCATGGCTGCAGTCTCTTTACTCCCATACCATTTATCAGCCATGGGTTTGCAGTTTCCTGAAACGGGAATTTTTTTTTTTCCCATGTCCATAACCTCCATTTCCTCCCCCGCATGCTTTCTAAAAACCTGCTCATCTCCCTCGTTTCAGTTTCTCACTCTCTTTTTGAAGCCTTTATTAATCAGCTCTCCCTTGGCCTTACCTTCCAGTTAAACCAGTCTGCATATCACCTGTTTAACTGTGTTCTCACCATTGCCCCCTTTCCTCATCCTTTTGACCTGTTCTAGACCAACCTTGTCAAAACCTATTTCAAATAGCGCAAAAGGTTTTTTCCTCTATCCTAAATTACTAAAGCTAGTGAAAGAAAATTATATCTTCCTTGATTGTCTTCACCAAAAAATGTACATCTCTTAGTATAACTGGATCCTCACTACTGCCTGCTATTTATTTCATTTATTTGTAATCAAATCTATGTATATTTTTCCCAAAATTTGGAGGATCTAAGTAGAACTGTATAATACTTTTGTTCTTATCTCCTGTTTTGTCAAGAAAAGGTAATCTCTCACATTTCTTTGCTACCTAAAACCTGTGTTTTGACCTTTGTTGTGTACATACCTTTTTTGGAAACAAGGTCTCACCATATGTTCAGGGTGGCCTTGAACACACTGTGTAGCACAGGCTGGCCTCAAACTTACAGCGATTGTCGTGCCTCAGCCTCCCAACTACTGAGATAATAAGCATTTTACCCCCACACCCGGCAGTGTATATATCCTTTGACTAGGAGTTTTGCTCCAGAAATTTATCTTAATGAATTAAGGAATTATTTGAAGTAATAAAATTTTAAAACAACCTGAAAGTGAAACACCACAGGAATGACATTCTCATTCATCTATATACTGTAGAGCCATTGAAAGAATGAAGTATATCCTGTATATACTTGGCATGGACAGATGTATATATCATTAAGTTAGAAAAGTAGGTGGCACCATTATTGATTTGTTTCTGTATTTTAATAATAAACATTCAGAAAATTAAATTACTATAGTGTAAAAAAATACTGGGGGCTAGAGGTAGAGCTCAGAACTCAGAGCACTTGCCTAGTGTAAGTTAGGCCATTAGTTCACTCCTCACCACCACAAAAGAAAAGAAGTAAAATGCTTAAGAATAAGTTTAACAGCAAAGTATAAGATTTGTACTATAAAACATTGCTGCAATCAGTTAAAATACGATCTTTAGTGGAGAGACTTTTTAGGATATTGCAAGATTCAGTGCAATCCCAATCAAAACCTCTAGCAGACTATTTCATGGAAAGTGACAAGCTGATCCTAAAATTTGTATGAAAATTTGAAGGAACTCAGTGAAGATCTGAAACATCCTGGTTTCAAAGTTTACTATAAAAGTACTTCATAAGAAACACCATGATACTTGTAAAGGTTAATGATACACTAGATTAGTATGAAGGGGGAAAAAAAACACATGAACTACTCACTTAATGCAGAAAAGTCATTTGCCAAACCCAACATTTACTCATAATTTAAAAAACTAGAAAGAGAAGAAAATTTCCTCAGTGTGATAAACATATACAAAAAGCCAGTAGCTCACATATTCAGTGGTAGAAGACTGAATGCTTTCCCTCCAAGATCAGGAATAAGACAAGAGGTACCAGTTATCACCACTTCAGTCTATCTCATACTGGAATTTCTAACCAAAACAACTAGAAAACACAGAAAAAAAGAGAAAGGAAGGGATTGTACATTTTGCATATCCATTTGGAAAGCTGGACACTTCCTTTTAACTTATATAAAACTTAGCCCAATCTAGTTAAGCACCTAAATATGAGAGCTAAAATATTAATCTTTGAGAGGAAAATCTTATTGACATTGAAAATCTGATAGTGATTCTCTAGAACTGATACCAAAACCATAGGCAATAAGAGAAAAATAAATTGATAGAATTTTATCAAAATTGAAAACTTCTGTGCATCAAAGGACACTATCATGTGGAAAGAAGACAGTCCACAAAAATGGGAGCCAACCTTTGCAAATAACATACTTGATAAAAGATTAAATCCAAAATATATAGCGTTTCTACAATTCAACAACGAACAGAAATTTTTCCAGAATTTCATGGCCAATTTGCATGTGAAAAGGCACTACCATAAGGAAAATGTAAATCAAGCCACAATGAAATACTGATTAGTACTAATTAGGGTAACTAATACCCTCTTCCCCTCAAAAATTAAAGTTAATAATTGGTGAGGATGTAAAGAAATTCAGACAGGTGGGGTATGTAAAATGGGGTGGCTCTGTACAAACTAGTTTGGTGATTCTAAAAGTTAAACAGATTACCATATAATCTAATAATTCTATTCCTAAATTTGTCCAAAAGAATTAAAAGTAGTAACTCAACCAGATGCTTGTATATAAATATTAATTAGAGCATCATTGTTAATAGCCAAAAGGTTTAAAAAAAATCAAATGTCCATTGACAAATGAATTTATAAACAGCATGTTGCCTATGTCCATAGTATTAATACTGTTCTGCCATAAAAAGGAATGAACTTCTAATAAATGGTGTGTAACATGGGTAAATCCTTAAAACTTGTTATGTAAGCAAGACACAAAAAGAAAAACATATTATTCCACTTATGTGAGGTATCTAGAATGGGGAAATTATTGAGACGAAAGTGGAAGAAGTTACCAGCAAATGAGGAAGATGGATTGGAAAGCTACTGTCTAATGGTGACACTTTCTGGTTAGGTAATGAAAAGATTTTGAGAATAGATGGTATCAATGGATATGCCACATTGTAAATATTCTTAATACTACACACATTTTTAAGTGTTAAAAATAATCTTGTGGAGATTCGGGAAAGCAGCTGGGACATCATATCTCCTGCTAGCGTGCCTGGGCCCAATCCCCGGGACCGGGTAGCCACACCCTCTCCTGTGGGCGCCGCTGAACACCCCCCACACACACACACATCCAGATCTCCTGATTGTGCCAGTCCTTGGACCCACTCTGCAGAGGCATAGCTGGTTATAAAGGATAATTTTCTGAGCTCCCAAATTTGAACATCTTTAAAGAAAGGGCGGGGGAAACCTGTAGTAGAACTGTCTGGAGTTCAACCCTGCAGGAGGTTGGGGAGCTCAATTTGGACCTTACAGCCTGAGGTCAGTCTGAGTCGCAGGGGTGTGCCATCGGCTAGCTGAGATAGAGGGATTTGGTTCTGCACATGGCTGCACACAATGTGTATTATGACAGCAGATATAGTCTGAAAGAGGCCCTTCAAAGTCATTTTTTTCCCTTTTCTTTCTTTTCCTCATTCTACCCTGTAAATTCTTTTTTCTGTCCTCTTTCACCAACTCAGACTCTTGCTTCATCGTATTGTCCCTCATCTCCCTTTCTGTTCTGCTCCTGCCCTGACTTAGATTTCTTCTTTTATCATTTTTTATGTTTTCTTAATGTTCCTTTTTTCTGTCATTGTGCCTCACTCAAGGGTCACTAGTTTCAAGGGAAAGTGAGCCCCTGTTGCTGTTAAGGGGATATATTCTTGTCCTTAAACTTGAACTCTGTCTCTCCCTTTTGAGTTTAACAGTTTCCTAAAGATTGTGTGGTCATTCTGTATCCGCTGGCTTCACTTGAAACCTTCTCCAGTTCTTTTGCTTATCTACTCTTCTCATCCTAACTCTGTCTAGGCCCCCATCCTAACTGCTGAATATGCTATGTTGAGGAGTTTGTTCACTGCAAACATATTTTGGGCTGCCTCTTGATTTTTTAATTTAATTCACATGGTTTAAAGGTGATAGATTAATGACTACCAAAAGTGGTCAATTTACAAGTTGTGATTGATCCTATGGTGTTGCTGATTGTTTCGATTGGAATAAAGGATAGGGATTGATTTGACGAGTTGTTTTCTCTGATATTGTGAAAATGAGAATGTCTACGAGTCATTAGAGAATCAAAAGCTGAAACGCAACTATATCAGGAAGATTTAATAACCGAGAGAATGAATCAAGGAAAACCCAACAGCAAAAATAAAAATGAGAAAACACTTAAGCAAGACACAAAGACAAACTTCCAGTTCACCAATGGCAAACAGTATGGCAAAGGAGGATGAAAACTATGATAGTGAACCACTAGGACACTCTGAACTCACAGCACAGGAAGTAACAAAACAGATCAATAAGGCTCTAGAAAAATTCAAAACAGAAATAATTTCCCAGATAACCATAGAGATGGTGAGCAAAATGAAAGTAATGATTCGGAACTCTAGAATAGAAACTGACAAATAGATGAGCTCAGGACCATGATAGAAGCCATAAAGGCCCAGCACAAGAAAGAAATGGAAACAATGAATGCCCGATACTGGAAAGAAATGGAATCCATTGAACAGATTCAAACAGATATCCAGGAAATTAAAAACTCTATTGAAAGTGTATGCAACAGAATAAAAGAATGTGAAGATAGGATATAGAAGATAGGATCGCAGACAGTGACTGTGAAAAGAGAAGTCTCTTAAAAACAGTAAGAGATTATGAGAAATCAATCCAACAACTAGATGATGCAAAGAAGAATAACATAAGACTGGTAGGAATCCATGAAGTGGCAGGAGAAAATGCAAACTACTTAAAAAAGTTGCTCACAGAATTAATGACAGAAAACTTCCCAAACAAAGGGGAAGATTTTAACATACAGATAAGTGAGTCAGTCATATAGGACTCTAACTAGCCACGATCAGAAAAAATCTACACCTAGAAATATAATAAGATCCCAGAAACCCAACAGAAGAGCAAAATACTACAAGCAGTAAGAGAAAAGAAACAAATCATATGCAAAGGAAAGCCCATCAGAATCACAGCAGACTTTTCAACACAAACCCTCGGGTCAAGGAGAGCCTGGAGTGAGGTATTTCAAGTCCTAAAAGAAAACAACTTCCAACCTAGACTGATGTATCCAGCAAAACTCTCTTTCAAAATGGATGGGGAAATAAGATACTTCCATGACAAAGAACACCGGAGACACTTCATGAATACCAAACAAACACTCTAAACAATTCTAAACAATATCCTAGAAAAAGATAATGAAGATCATCACAACACCATGAAGCCCAACAGAGCAAACAAAATAGTCAAGGCAGGAAACTAAAAGGAGAGGGCAAAAAATTAAAAAGAGTCAAAAGGACAATAACATTACAATTATAAGTCAGTACATATCAGTTATAACCATTAATGTCGATGGCCTCAAATCACCAATCAAGAGAAACAGACTGGCAGAATGTATTAAGAAGCAGAATCCAACACTATGTTGTATGCAAGAAACACACCTAATGCAAAAAGAAGCCCATAGACTGAAAGTCAAAGGGTGGAAAACAGTTCTTCACGTGAGGAGCCCAGAAAAAAGTAGGGGTAGCAATCTTATATGCAGACAAAGTAAATTTCAAACTGAAACTGATTAAGAGAGACAAAGCCACTACATCTTTGTAAAGGGAACAAGTCAAGAGGAAGAGATGACAATCATAAACATATTTGCACCAAATACAAATGCCCCCAACTATATAAAACAAATATTAAGTAACATGAAAAACCAAATAAGCACTAATACAATTGTAGAGGGGGCTCTGAATACCCTATTATCACAAATAGATCATTTAGGCAAAAAAATCAAAAATGAAATACTAGAACTGAACCAAGCTTTTGAATGCACGGACTTATTAGACATCTATACAGTGTTCCACTCCACAAAATCAGAATATACATTGTTTTCAGCTGCACATGGGTCATTCTCCAAGATAGACCACATACTAGCTCACAGAACAGGTTTGAATAAATGCAAAAGAATTGAAGTTATTCCCTGTATATTATCAGATCACAGTGCAGTTAAGCTGGAGATCAATAGCATAAGTAATCGTAGGAACTTCACAAACACATGGAAATTGAACAGCACTCTCCTGAACAATCAGTGGTGGATCACAGAGGAAATTAAAGAAGAAATCAGACAGTTTTTACAAATAAATGAAAATGCCAGTACAACATACAGGAATCTATGGGACACAATGAAAGCAGTTCTTCGTGGAAAATTCATAGCACTGAATGCCCACACTAGGAAAACAGAGCAAACTCAACCTAATGATGAATTTTAGACTCCTAGAAAAACAAGATCAAGAAAAACCCAAAGCTTGAACAAGAGAGGAAATTGTAAAGATTAGAGCAGAAATCAATGCAGTGGAAACTAAGAAAACGATAAAATAAATGAATCAAAGAGTTGGTTTTTTTGAAAGCATAAATAAAATTGATAAACCCTTAGCTAAACTTATCAAAAAAAGGAAAGAAAAGGCAAAGATCCATGCAATTAGAAATGAAAAGGGTGAACTCAAAACACATTCAACAGAAATCCAGAGGATAGTCAGTACCTACTTAGAACCTGTATTCTAATAAAATGGGAAACAGAAGAAATGGACAGATTTCTAGATACTTATGAATTACCAAAGTTCAACAAAGAAGATAAAAACATTTTAAACACCCCAATTCCAATCAGTGAAATTGAAAATGTAATTAAAAACTTACCAACAAAGAAAAGGCCAGGCTCTGATGGATTCAGTGCTGAATTTTACAAGACATTTAGAGAAGAACTACTGCCATTACTCTTCAAATTTTTCAATGAAATTGAAAGGGAGGCAATACTTCCAAATTCATTCCTGGAAACAGGTATCACTTTGAATCCCAAATTTCTGTTAATCTTGCATTTATGTCTGTGTGTTTGTAGGGTTCGTGCCTCTGGGCAGTCAGGAGTCTTCAGACAGCCTGGCAGCAGAGATTGTTACACCTGAAATCAGGTAAGGAACTTCACTGCATAGTTTTCCTAGGGTAGAGCCTGTCCTCTGCAGTGTAAAGACCTCCAGTTTCTCTCTATTACTGATATAATCACTCAGTGTTAATTGTCAGCATGTTAGCAGCTTTTTTTCAGCTGGCCTAACAGAACTGATTTTTTCACTTCACACACACAAAGTAAACTAATACCTCCTGTGCTTGGTTGGCCTCAGCAGATATTTAGCAGTTGATAACACTTGGCCCAAAGCCAAGGTTATGCTAGCTATGAGCCTACAAAATAATTCGTTACTAAGATTATCTTCTAAATATTTGGAGAGGCCTGAAGAGGATGCACTGCTGCTGTAGATAGGAGGACCAGCCTCATCTCTAATTACTCTTCTCTCAGTAATACCTTAGCTTTTATGCTTAGTCAGAAGATTTTTAATATATCATTTATTTTGGTATGTGAATGCAAAGCGAGGTTGGGAAGAATACCAAGTGTAGCCAAAAGAGGATGATTAGTCCTGAATATTTCTCTGGACCTTTTACCCCTTTAAAAGTGGGGTTCTTTAAAAAATGAAGATAACTTACAGTTATTTGATAGCCCTTAAGAGGTATGAACAAAAGGATTATTATACAGTGTCACGTCTGAACACATCTTGTGTACTTTTTACTTTTCTGACATGTGATGTGCTAGTGAATAACTGAGCCAATAAAATATGAATGAACACTTATTATTTATGAGTATTTGTAAATAAATTGTGTCCAAAAAAATTTTTGTAAGGAAGCTAAATAGTATACAGTTAGCTTGCTAAACTAAGGAAAGAACAATGTAAAGATTCAACAAGTATGGCTTTTCTGTTTGACTAGATACAAATTAAAATATACTCCAGAAATATCAATATCAAGAAAACAGAATGATAAACCGTGATGAACAGAGCTCATTGATTATTTATTAATGTTAAAAATAAATTGGAATCCTCAAATTAGGGGAAAAGAGTAAAGTAGTGTAACTTTTATGCCAATTAACAGAATGCACTTCTGGTCTAAAAATACGCCTTTTACCCCCCTCTCCTAAAAAAATTGCTTTTGGAGGGATAAATTCTAATGGAAATAGCCAAGGATAGACAAAATATATATTTAAAAAGCAAATAATTGACCTGGCAAAGCTCAAAATTGATCATCTAAATGCCCAGTAATTGAGTGTTTTGATTAAGCATTATAATATTTACTGTGACAAATGCCTGAGATAAACAGTTTAAAAATAGAAAAGTTTATTTTGTTCATGGTTTCTGAGGTGTCATTCCATGGTCACTTGGCCTTGTTTCTTTGGTGTGAGGCGAAGCAGAACATCACCCAAAAGGACATGGTGGAGAAGTGCTGCTTACCTTATAGTGTCTGTCTGGGAAGCAAGAGAAAGAAAGGCAAGGACCAGAGACATGATACACCCTTCAGTACACACTTCTGATGACCTACATCCTCCAACTGGAATTTCTTCAACCCCACCTCCTGAAGTTTCCACCTTCTGACAGTTACCCATTAGATTGTGAGTGGATAAATAGATCAGTGCATTGACATGTCAGACCCCTCATGAGCCAGTCACCTCCACAGTTGGAGCAACGCTGCCCTGGAGACAAGCTTTCAAGGATAGTTAATAATATGAAAAAACGGGGCCAGGGATTTAGCTCAGTGGTGCCACTGCCTGCCTCACAAGGGCAAGGTCCTGAGTTCAACCCCCAGTACAAATAATAATAGTAATAATAATATGAAAAAAAATGAAACTTTTAAATATAAATAGCACTGCAGTATGAACTGTGTGAGCCCCGCCCCCCCCCCTT